GGGCGGGCGCAGGGTGAGTGCAGGGCGAGTGCAGGGGGGAGGTGCTGGGCGGGCGCAGGGTGAGTGCAGGGCGTTCGCAGGGCGGCCACAGGGCGGGCACAGGGCAAGAGGACGGGCACAAGCTCTGCTGGCTCGGCGGCCCGGTAGCCTGCCCCGGCCCCGGTAGAAGAAGGAGGAGGAGGAGGGACTCAGCGTGTGCGACGGCGTTACGTTCGCGATACTGTCAACAGCTGGTTCGGCTGTGCGACGCGTCACGGCACGAAGTGGACTGTGCGGCCGGCGCGGCGGCGCTGAGTCGCGTGGCGGGGCGTGGCGACTCGCGGCAGGGTGGCGCCATCCGCTACCGCGACGCAGGTGTTTTGGCTCTAGTTTTTGGCGGGCGTACGGTGGGTGCCCGCGCTGTATCGGAGTGCTTTTAGCGTCGAAAGGTGCACGGAAGAGGTGACGCTGTACGCTGTCGGTCCTCCTCACTGCCCGTTCGACGTATGTACTACTATCCCTCCTGTCTTTGATGCGGGATCGGCATCGGCGGCGCCGGGATCAGGGATCGGGGGCAGCCTTAACCGCACCGCGCCCTTTCCTCCCACTCCCCACCCCAGAGGCGTCGTCGGGGTGTCGTCGGCGTGCCCGCCGCGCCACCCGCCCGCGCGCTGGCGCTGCACGGCGGAGAGGAGGGGACGCGAGAGGGTTAAATTTGGCGGCCGCAATCACCGTCGGTTCCGCCTCGGCCGCGCCGAGCCATGCCGAGCTCACGCGGGGCCCTCCGCGACCTGACTTGGGTTATCGAGGTCCGGCCCGCGAGCACGCCGGCGACGACACGCGGTGACGTTTGCCGCGAGGTCGGCGGCGGGGGGGCTCTCCTTCGACTCCAATCACGATGACCCCGAAAAAGAGCCACATTTGTACTACACCCCGCCGCCGCGGTTCAGGGCGAAGATCAGCTTTTTGCTGAAATGTGTAACGGCGTTGCTCTTCGCGCAGTCGCTGTTTGGCGCGCGCAGGCCACACATAAAATAAGAGGGGCTTGCTGAGGAGGTGGGGGCAGGGGGGCGTCGCTTACCCGGTGACTGGTTACGTCAGAGTGCCCCCCTCCCTCCCCCACGGCACGGCGCGGGTGCGGAGGCGACCAGCAGCGGCCGGACTTCGCCGCGGTGTGGCCGCGCGAGGACTTACACACACGGATGCGTTTGGACCCTGGTGCTCCCGGGCACTCTGATTTGACGTGCTGCCGGTGCCACGCGTTGCTGTGACCTTTGCAGCGGGTGAGCGTGTGAGTCACTTTATTGCTGACGTCACCAGGCGTGGCGCGGTCCCGTCCCCCGGTGCGGCGTGTCGCCGGCTGATACGATACGGCGGTGTGGCCGATGTGGCGTGCTCAGGCTCCGCGGCCCGTGGTCAAAAATGAAAAAACAAACGAACGGGACCACATGTGTCTTGGCATTGCGCCCAGCAGGCAGAGCTGGCCGCGGCTAGAGTCCGCATGGACCGCGCGGTCGGCGTGGCTCTGGAGATGGAGAGGAGACACGTCGGTCAGGATGATGAAACTTTTGCCTAATGGCCCATGACTGCGCCGGACCGCCGGATCAGCTGCCCTGCGTCGGTACCAGTGGCGAGCAGGTTGGCGTGTGTCGGCGGGCACCGTGTTCGGCGAGCACCGTGGTCGGCGGGTCACTCCTGGTGGGGCCCGGTGGGCCTGGCCGGGTGCAGGCTGGTGCAGTAGTGGGAGGCGGCCCGGCCCGAGGAGCGGAGGCGGGCGCTGCGCGCAGTGCAGCAAGATGGGCGGGTCTGGCGGGCCGTTTAGGCGGGGCCTCGCCTGCACTGCCCTCGCTCCCCCTCCCGCCCCGCCCGCGAGGCCTGGCGTGCTGCCCCGCCCCACACGGGCCTAACTCCCCGCCACGCGGCCCCCTCTCCTCTTCTCGCCCCGCCTCCCCCTCGCCTTACCCCACCTCACCCCGCCCCACCACGTCTGCCAGGAGCGGAGCGGCTATTCAACCACGGTCCCCGGACCCGCGATCCTGCCGACGGGAGCTCGGGAGCCCAGGCTGCCGGCCCCCTAGCCGAGGCCCCGCGTGCGCGCCGGGGAGGTATGCGGGCTGCCTGTCTGCAGCGCACCGGCGCGGGCGGGTTGCCTACCTCCACGGCGTTCTGGTCGGTGTCTAATAACGGAGGCCTTTTGGATTTGCAGGAGCGCTGTGTCCGCCGGACAACGCCTACAGCATGGTGCGCGACCCTGCGTCCCAGTATGTGCTGCTGGCGGCGCCTGGGATCAGCCTAGGTAAGGCCCTGCACCTAGCCCCCCCGGGCCCCCTCCTCTACAGCCTCGGCTACAGCCCTGCTACAGCCCTGCTCTCCGCTCGGTCCACAGATCCGATGTCCAGGCCCATGATGTGGTCGAGCTTCGGGCCGCAGCCGCTGCTCCTACCGCCGCCCGGCATGCTGCTGGACCCCATGCTGGTCTCCTCGGCCTCGGGGTCGACGTGCGCCTCGACCTCGGTCTCGGCCTCGGGGTCCATGATCGCGCTCTCGCGCACCGTCTCCTCGCACGGCCACTCCATGAGCACCCAGTGCGTGTCCAACGTGGTCACCCTACCCGGCACCCTGTCCGGCGCCGTCCCCATCCCCGGGCCGCCCCTGCCTCTCCCCACCTCCGCCATGCCCAGCCCCACCCTCCTCACCGTGGCGTCCATGTGCCAGAGCTCTGTCGAGTGCAGTGCAGCGCCCTGGACCACCTTGCCACACCCAGGTGACCTATTGACTGAGAGGCTTGCTTGGTCGGCTCTTTGTTCTATGGAGGTGTTAATTTTGTCGTTGAATACAATTTTTAGGTCAGGCAGACCGAGACCCGGGTAGCAAACTGATGATGCATCAACCCAAGTGTATATCAGATGGAGAGTCAACAGTAATCACACAAGTTGCTGACCCATCGAAGCAATGCTCAGCTGGTGTGCAAACTCAGTCAGATGGTGATGGTACCACAAATGTATGTTTCGATTTCAATGCGTTTTAAACCTACCACATTACATGCTGGTGTTTCAATGCAATTATTTATTTGATTTTACTTTTCTGTGTAGGAATTCATTTCCTCACCCACCAAGAACCCTACTGCAGAGGAAAAGGAAGAATCAAGGCCCAACAAAATAGACTGCACTCTGAATGAGACATTCAATCACGATGCAAGCGAACCTGTCAAAATTGAAACTCTGCATGTGTCCACTGACAGTAGACCAGAGTTTGATGAAAACAAAGAATGTGAAACTGCACTGTCAGAGAGGAGTACAGCTTTCGTTTTTGTTGAGGCAGATTCTAATTGCGAGCAAGAATGCTTGACCAGCCCTGAACTTCATATATCAAGTAGCTATCAAGAATCTGAGGATTTAACTAATGTACCTGAAAAACCAAATGAATTAGATGTAAGTGGATTGGAATTGTTGTATAAAAGCATTGAACATATGGAAAGCTTGGAGAACAGGAGATCAGTACTACAAGAACCTAGTATTGAAGTTGAGCAACCGCCCGAAGTCCAGAAGCCAAAACTGGATGGACTTGGCCTTCTTTGTGCCTTAGCTGAACAACGAATTCAAGAAGAGTTGAACAAAGAATCAGGGGGATTTAAACTTGAGTCTGACTCTCCAATATGTAACTCTGTCAAACCTACAGCTGATGTTAATCGTAACTATAGAACTCCTAAATCAGAGCAAGAAGTTCGTCGCTTTCTTGCCACTCGCACGGAGACATCACATGCAGTTGTGTCTCCTGTTACATTTAAACTAGAGCCTCAAAATGATTCATTAGAAATGGAGATGCGAAACCGGTTGGCAGAGCTACAGCGTATGTATAAGGAAACTCAAAGGGAACTTTCTCGTCTCACACCTCGGAAGAATAGTATTGAAGGTATAGTAGCATTGCATCATGATGTCCATAAATCTGAAAACTGAGGTATTCTTAGTTAGAAGAGGTATAAATAATAGGTATTTTAAATAAAATGTTTACAGGTGAAAGCAGTAGTGGAAGCCATAATGGAAGCACTCCTATTAAAAGGACACCAGCTAAAAGTGCACAATTTAGGAAGAAAAAAATTGCAGTCAAGAAAAAGACCCCTCTTAAATCTGAAACCTTGAAGTAATTAAAGAATTACAATTTTAAGTCTTAAATGTGTATTTATACTATTTATAAACTGCTAATGCTTTCTCTTTTCTCTGAAGTGATCCACCACCACCTGTTTTGGAGAGAGTGACAGATGTTGTTGAAGTTCCCATCCCAAAAATCAAGTGGTCACGCCTTGATGCCCCACCAACACTTATTCCCCATAAGCTTCCAACTGAGGTGGGACATCACAACCCTCCATCGTTCAAGCTTAATCTTGTTAAGCTACCAGCAACCAAAGATCACAAGAGACGCTGGAGTGTTGATTCCCCCTCAACACGTGTATCAACTGAAACACAACATGCTGGTCAGTATTTAAATTAAAGCTTTTACAGTTTTTTGTTAGTTCTTTTTCTGTTTGAAATTAATCCTTAAATCTTATTTTTTTTAGATGATGAAGATTCAGATGAATTATGGTCCGAGTTTATATCCAAATCTTCTGAGGTAAGTGTTCAAATTTTTATACAGTTCCTCATTCAAATTTTTCATTACTCTGTTAACCAGTTTGCAATTGTACTTGGTTTTCCAATGTAGACTGTAAGTAGCAACCGCAAACACAAGTCTTCAAATGAAGTGTCTTCTCTGCATTCAACCTCCAAGCGACGCAAGGTTGGAAAACCAAAACGACACTTCGACAAGGCTGGAAATGGACATCATGCCACTGAAACCATTGTGCCCAAGCAACCAAGGAACAAGGCTAGCCTTGTTAGTTACCTTCTGGCTAGCAAGACAGCTGGACCAGGGAAGCTTCAAAGTTCTGAAAAGAGTTCAAAAGAGTACTCCAAAGCAACAGTTGAAACTCCAACCCACAGCCCTGAGCATCGACCAAAGATTCGACCAAAACTTAAAGCAGAAGTGAAGGTAAATTTGAATGCATGTCTTAAATAAGTTTGCTTTTTGAACCCAGGTTGGTTTGAAATTTTAACTCTTTTTTGTTCTGAATAGGTCAAAGAAACATGGGAAGATGAAGATTTATTGGACTGGTCTACTCCCAAACCACAACTTCCTTCTCACCCACTTCGCCCTCTAGACTTGGTATTCGAATGCATGGAAGAAATATCTAATGGCCAAGATAAGGGTTTGGGGTTGAAAAGACATGAAGAAGATGATGAAGATGATGAGTGGAGACCATCTTCGAAGAAAACCAAATCACCCGCAGTCCCATTAAAACCTGTATCAAATGCAAACTTTCCTCAGCAGAAACACTCTTCTGAAAAAACACCACCAACTGCAAAACCCAAGAAACCATCAAATCTTTCCAAAGAAAGGAGACAGTCTACTGAGAAATTACACCTTAAGAAGCCTGTTTGCTCCTCAGTTGAAGAACGTTTGCCTCTTAAGGTTTCAAGTAAGTCATGTTTCATTTAGCCTTAGTATTAGAGAGTTAAGTAACTTAACTCTTGTACTCTGTGAAGTGTCTCATTCTCATTAATTTTAACTCGTCTAAATTCTTTGTTCAATAGATGACCCAACTAGTTGTGTACTGACTGCAGAAATATTGGAAACAGCAGACTTTCCTGCAAGAACATTGACTGCCCAAGGTGGACTTTTTTATGCTGGATTATTGAATGCTGTGATGCCACCTGACTTATACAGCATTATCCTCCATGGGGAAAGAGCATCAAGACCTAACATATATTCAAGGGAAGAAATTTTGCAAGATACCGTAAGCACCTTTTTAAATAAAACCAGTCATTTTTTA